CCCAGCAGGCCTGCAGAAAACAGCCGACAGTTTCCTCATCACAGCCCTTACCCGGGACCGGCATCTAGTTGAGGAATTGATCTGTTCTGGGGAGAGATGGCATTTCATTTCGAGTCTTCGAGCAGAGACACTGATGTGTAATAAAGGTAATAGAACGGAGCCACGTATCCGCGCGCAGAACTGTCTGGCTCACACTCCCAGTGAGGAAAGAGCAGCGGTGCCCGGGCAGTGCTGCTGGGAGACTGTGACATTCCTGCTGGGAGCCGACTGTGACACTGGCAGGAGGGGACGTAAGCCACACTGTGGACGCTGCAGTGCCCTGATGCGCTATGAGGACAGCAGGCCAGGCCATTTGCTCAGTCCACGCCCACACTCCTGTCACAGTCTGACACATGCCCCACAACCTCAAGGCTCCTCGTGAGGGTGTCAGGGTCAGTGCTGAGCAGGTGGATACTTAACTACAGGCTCTCTGGGAAAGAGACTCTGGTTTACACCCCCAAACACAGGAGGCTATGTCCTCAAATGTGACCCCAGCAGAAGGCAAGGACACGCTCTGCTGGACATGCACTGTCCCCATGCCATGGTCGGAGAAGCATGGGAAAGCACCCTGAAGGCCGGGCCCACCAGGGACCCACAGCCCCAAGTGTAGAGGAACGAAAGGGCCATCGCTGCCACCTCTGTAAAGGCAGGAAGTGCCCGTGGCGTTTACGGAGGGCATGGCTCGCTGGCATGGAAAGGCAAGTGGCCTCCACAGCAATAGGCTGTCCTCCAGCCAGCCCGGCAGGGAGACGACTAGCGGCCGAGGCCACCCCACCCGGATTTGAGAGGGACATTGGCTCTTTATGGTGAGAGAGATAAAATCACTCACATCCCCCTAGCAGCTCACGGCCAAGAATAAAAACGACTTTGGGGAATCATTTCAAAGCCAGATTTGATGGCCTACACTCAAAACCAAGACAACGTTTCCTTCTTAAGGTCAAGGAGAATCGCTGTATGTGGAATCTCCACTTACAGTTTAATTAAGAAGTCTCAACGTGGCAATAAACTCGGAACATCAATCTCGGGAAAGAGGGTCACAAAGATATCCTGGTTAAGGAGAAAACCTCTCCATCATGAGCTCAGGGCTCACCTGCCTGTGTTTCATCACATGGGACAGCCCTCGCCACCTCCTGCGTGAGCAGGTGCCCTAGAGCGGCAGAGTGGTCTGCAGTGTCTCTGAGGGGGTGCGGCAGGGACAGTGCCAAAGGCACACAGACAGAGCTCTCCCGCCCGCACCTCCCGTAGGTGCCACGGCCCTGCAGGCTTGGCCACACTGAGCACGAGGCCTCCCTGGGCCATAGACAGAGCTTCCGCAGCGACGGTTAATGACCCGTCCGCCGGCACAAACCATTCTCCGCACTCAGAATCCCACCAGGCGCATCGCGTGACATCCTAACTCACGACCCGACTGACCCGTCCCGAGAGGATGTCAGTGAGGCCCTCCACAGAGGCCAAAAGCCCACGACCCTCTTGGGACCCTCCAGCCCGCATGAGGGGAGAGAAGTATGCCTCGGTTTTTGGAAAATAAACCCCTCTACCTGCTCAGAGGGGGAAAGCTAAAAGCAAGCTTAAACTGGGCAGGAAACCACGGGGTTGGGGAGGATGCAAGGCTCAGAAAGAGACAGAGCAGGGAAGCAGGAGAGGGTCAGGGAGGGATCCCAGTGACAAGGTGGCAGCCACATGCTTCCAACAGACCACTGTCATTGCTGACGGCGGGGAGGGGTGACAGGCCTGACCCTGAGGTCCCGAGATGGCAGTGGGGAGGCCCAGGACAATGGGTTCTGCAGGCGGGGCCAGGGCGGGGACGGTTGAGCATGACAGGACTCGGGTGACAGCTGCAGGCGGGTGAGCCTCCAACCAGGCCTGTGAGCCCAAGTCCCACCATGGAGCCGGGTGCTCAGAGCATTGGGCAGGCCCCTGGAGTAGGGAACAAATGTGCAGACTGTCCCTGCAGGTCCCACTCTGCCACGGAGAGCACGGCCTCCACCCCACACGACGGCCCTGAGTGGGAGACGCCAGTAACCTGGGACACAGTCAGTGAGGAGGGCCGGCTCGGTCACGGG